TGTATGTCCATCATTCACTCATTTGCTCACATGGGAGAAGTGACTTTAAAATGAGATGGCAAACTGAGGCTTAAAAACAATGGCATGAACATCATCACAGCCAGGGCAACCAACCATGCTGGTCTGCCTGGGACCCAAGATCCATTCAGCTTTCTTTGTCTCTCTTTTCCTTGCCTTTTCCATCCCCTTCAAATATTACAGTAAATCAATAAATTATGTAAAGGCAGGTTGATAATGTTCTCTACCTGAGAATTTGGAGTGCTAAAACTAGGAAAGTCTTGGGCAAACTGGAACTAGTGGGTCACCCCAAATTAACAAGGTATGAAATACACATCCAAGTCAGCTGGGATTTCAAGAGCTGTCGAAACATTCCTGGGGTGGGGAGGAGTAAAGGTGAGACACAGCTTTGTGATCTCCTGCTTTCTGAGCAAAACTGAAGCAACTAGAGATCATTAGTCGTCTTCTACCGTCTGACTCCTAAATCACCTTCCTTTTTCCACCATTAAAATTTCTAGTCCATGTAAGAATGAAAGAACTTTGTGGGGTGATGGAAATGTTCTGTATCATGATTGTGGTTTTGGTTATGCAACTATCTCCATTTGTCAAAACTCAGCAAAATTGTACACTTAAAACCGGTACATTTTAAAAATTTTTTTTGAGTCAGGGTCTAACTATGTCACCCAGGATGGAGTGCAGTAGTGCAATTACAGCTCACTGCAACCTCTAACTCCTAGGCTCAAGCGATCCTCCTGCCTCTGCCTCCTAATTATTTAACAGCTGGGACCACAGGCGTGCACCACCATGCCTGCTAATTTTTGTAGAGACAGAGTATTGCGCTAAGTTGCCCAGGCTGGTCTCAAACTCCTGGTTTTAAGTGATCCTCCCACCTCAGCTTCTCAAAGTGCTAGAATTACAGGTATGAGTCATCATGCCAGGCTCTGAATTTTACTGTATATAAGTCATACTTCAATAAAGCTGACAAAAAAAAAATCCTCACAAAAAAAATTTCTCACAAAGTTGGGAGGGCAGCAATATGATTAAACCAGTTCATTCAACCTTTTGGGGATATTAACTTTTTAAAAGATATTGCAGGCACAATGGCTCATGCCTGTAATCCCAGCACTCTGGGAGGCCAAGGGGGGAGGATCGCTTGAGCTCATGAGTTTGAAACCAGCGTGAGCAAGAACGTGACCCCATCTGTACAAAAAACAGAAAAAATTAGCCAGGAGTCATGGCAAGAGCTGTAATCCCAGCTACTCAGGAGGCTGAGGCAGGAGATTTGCTTGAGCCCAGGAACTGGAGGTTGCAGCGAGCTATGAAACTACTGCACTATAGGTGGGTGACAGCAAAACTCTGTCTCAAAAAAAAAAAAAAAAAAAAAGATGTTACACAATAAAAATACCAAGTTTTCAGATATGGAAGGGAAGATATTTGGTGACAGAGGGTCTTCTTGGTTCTTATAAATTATCTGGAGTCAATTAATAACATTTACCAAGTACTTACTATGTGCCGGGCAACAAGCTAAGAGCTTTACATCATTGCTATTCAAAATGTGGTCCACAGACTAGCAGCATCTGAATCACCTTATTAGAAATGCAGAATCCTGGGAACCACTGCAGACTTACTGAATTAGAATCTGCATTTTACCTAGATCCTCAGGTCATTCCTATGCATGTTAAAGTCTAAGAACCGCTTTATAGATCATCTTTTTTCATCCCTAAAACCCTGTGAGTAGCACACCTAGCAATTATGCTTTAAGTTTTTATTAACTCAACTATTAATGATCACCTATGGCTTTACCTAGCAGTAGTTATAGAGGAGAGAAAAGACATCACTAGTGTGCATAATCTAAGTAAATTTTTATATGATCTACATCCCGTTTTCTTCCTATTTTGCCAACTGTCTTAAAAAATAGACAATGGATTTATTTCCAAGTAGTCTAATAACTGAAAAGAGAGAAGACAGATATAGAATTAATACAAATGTTATAAAGGATTCTTATAGCAAAGAAAATAGCCAATACATAAAAGAAAATGAAAGGTACCAGACTCCTACTGCAGAAGCTGGGTCCAGGTATAATGGAAGTTTTTATTCCATGACTCTAATGCTCACTACAGCTCTGCTCCCTCGTCCAGCCTATACAAAGCCATCCCATAGCTGGATCCATAGGTCTTCCTCCCACCCCAATGGACAGATACTTTATGCCATTAAAAAAAAGAGAAAAGAACTGCACAGAGTAACTCCTTGGACCAGGAACAACCTATATATTTTGCTTTTCTACTATATAACACAGTAGTACAACCTGTTACTCCTGCAAGAATACCCCTTAGAGATGTGGCCTCTTGGGAAATCAACCAGTCCAAGGATATAAGTAGACCAGAACAGACTCAGGATGGCAAGGGGTGGGTAAGAAAAAAAGGGAAAATCAATGGCATGTAAAACCATCTCATTAGAAAAATGAAACTGACGAGTTAATAGCTGAGTACCTGAAAACAAGAGAGCCAAACAAGAAAAGCACATGCTCATTGAGATCACTATATATATATATAAAACTTTATTAAAATTGGGATTACTTACAAACTGTACAATAAAAATGAAAAATTCATAAGACATTATTTTTTCTTATAGAAAAGAGGGTAAAAGTAAGACCCATGGCAAAGAGCCATCCCTGATACTTTTGTTCCTTTCAAAGATTCATGAACATTTATTTTAAACACAAATGACAAATCCTTTATTTAAACAACACCAAGGCATTACCCACAGGCTAAAACTTACCCAGTAATTCCTTAGTCCTGTTATTTAAACATCAATTCCGTAAACATGGAAAACTGTGGCAACAGCAGGCTGTGACAGTTTCTAATGTTCATATTATGACCTATCTATAATACTACGTTAACATAAGAATGCTGCTCATGTTATAGTCAAGTTCAGAGAAGGTGATTTCACCATTTTCAAGTTACCATCAAAAGAGTGTGAAAAAGGAAGACGACATACATGGGTGGGTGGTGTAAAAATCCAAAGCCCAATTCTCGGGGTTTGTGTGACCCACTCCCATCCCCCCTAAAGCTACAAATCCATATAGGCATGAATCTGCTTTGTTTACTCCCAGCAGGCTCTGGCTCATGTCATATAAGGCACCAAATACTTTTCAAGGTAGTAACCATCTAGAATCCAACTCAATAGCAACCTGAGCTAAGTCACCAAAAACACCATTGGGTCACAACAATTATACATGTTCCCCTAAAAAAAATAATAATCAATTTCTGCTACCTAGAAACAGAAACAAAAGGTTTAGGTGCACTTGCTTTGTGCAATGGCTATTTTATGTTTATTACTTGATTTCAGTGCCTATATAATATGAAGGCAAAATAAATCTGTCAAACTGTCCTCTCCTGAGTTCAGATAAAATTCCTGGCACTTCAATAAAGGTTGTTATCTCATATGTCAGACCTAAGTCCAAAGGAATACTAGAAAGACATTTAATTTCCTTTCCTTGTACTTCAACTTTCACTACTCAATTCAGAGAAGTTATGAGTACACAGCCAGGAACCATTTTTACGCAGGCATCCATTTAAGCCCATCTTTTTTTCCTCAAACAACAAAAAGATTGAGGACAATTATATAATCCACTCCCAGGTCTTCTATGGATATGGGGGGGGGGGACTATCTGGCCTATTTGGGTCCTTTTACTCATCAAACCTCTATAATACATGCCAAATAGGGATTGAGTTAAAAGGAATAACCAGTAAAGAGAGGACTGGGCCCTAGAATGGATGAATAAGTGTAAAATGGAATAGTAAGACCCAAAGATCTATCATCAGCAAAATTCCCTTCGTAACAGCCACAAAAATCATGAATCTGGGGGGAAGAAATAGAATAGCTTTGGTGGGATGCAGTGGCTGACAGGAATTCCTTATTAGAAGGTATCAAAGTTGCTAAAAATTGTCCTTGGTTTTGGTCACTGTGTTCTTTTGGTCCCATGAAAACAATCTGAGTGGGAAAGTAAAAGGGAAATATTTTATACAGATGCCTTTTGTATTCCCACTAATGGGAGTCATGCTCTACACAGCTTGGTCAGACTGATTAGAGATGATAGATTTCCAATGCTGAGGAGACCCTGAGCCCTGGAGCCTATTTATGGCTTGGTATTTGCCAAGCAAGATGCTGACATGGCAGCAGACATGGCTCCAATGTCCAGCTCATCCCACAGTTATCCCTTCAATCCTTCTTGATGAGATCGGTCTGAGAGATGAGACTGTGCTGAAATTGCAAGAGCTATAACTGCCAGAGAAAATTAAATGGGGGCTTCAAGTAGTGACTGAGCCAGCAGACTAAGTGGCCAAGAGGGAGACAAGAGGAGCTCGTAAAGAAGGTTTACGAAGTCAAGCAATCTCCGGGCACACAGAGGCTCGGAAGCATCTGGGCAGAGCCACTAGGCAGGCAGGACAAGGACACACAGCACACCAAAGAAGCACCGTCCTTCACCGTCTGAGAGCAATTCTCATGCTGCAGGACCAATTGTTATCTCCGCTGCCTACAGCTCAGGTCTCCAACTACCAGACAGGGAGTAATAAACTGAGTTTGATTTTACTCACCCCAAATTCAAACACAGTGAAAAAAAACTAATCTTGAAATGGAAACTCTGTTTCACAGGAGCTTACTAAACAAAATAGGAGGAGAATCTTTCCCTACTTCACAATGCTTTCTCACTGAAATAAAGACATGAATCAGGAAAAGTTGCCCTAAAGGCAAGCTACCACATTCCTAAGTAGCTATTTTAGAAAAGGCACCAAAATCTCCAGAGAATCCTGAGACCATTTGTACAGCTGAATTATTTTCTCAAATCAATTTATGCTCAAATATACTAGGTCTCAGTTTCTATAAATAAAGTTTTAAAAGTTTATTTAAGAGGTTTTAACAGTTCTTTGTAGAAGGATAAAATTTTACTATGTACATAATTCACAAAGGCATAACAGTTTCCCAATATAAAGTTCCTTTTACCCTGCAACTTTAACCCATACTATCTGACCAAATACTGCTCATTTTCCACTATATGTCTCTTTGTTGCCAATCAAGGTAGTTGTCGCTTTAAGACAGTCTAAGGCTGTGGAAATAATCAATCTGGAAGGGAGTCTCAGAGCTGACACTTTGGAAGTCAGCAATGGAGCCAGGGCCTTTCAAAATTATCTGCTAAATGGCTGGTTTGAAGGGGTCATTACAGCTTTTAAAAAAAATCATCTGCCTTTCCCATGATCATGGTAAGTAAGCCAGTAAAGCTGATACTATGCTCTTGCCAGGAGCATCTATCTTCCAGGCTAAAGTAAGTACAGCGTTTTCCAAGGTATTGGGGGTGAAGATCACAAAGACAGAACCAAGCAATCCCTCATAAATGACACTGCTAGTTTATAAGGGTGCTTTCCAAAGGCAAAAGAATCTGAAACTAATGTCACTGTAATAAAAGGCAGCATAAATCTCAAGTCAGAAATGGAATTGCAAATAAGTGTAAGTTCACAGAAAAATCTGTCTAACCCTAATGGCTGAATGAGCATCAAGAGGCATGAAGATAACCTGGAGGTCTATTTCCTGGCAGTGCAAACTCTGGTGGCTACACAGCTACAAATTGTACATCAAAAAATTTCATAGACAGTTTCAGGGCTTACAAATTAGTCAGATTTAGGGGAGTGCAGGTAGTGAGAAAAGGCTGAAAGGAATAAGTAGACAAGGTAGACAAAGGAGAAGGGAAAGGAAAGGGGGATAGTTTCTTGATTCCACAGTAACTCAAAGATGTCACCTGATGACAGAAAAAAATATAACCTATAGAAAGCATTTGAACATCCCCGAAACAAGATAACTTATACTAGCAGGAATAATGCTGTAAACTAAGGAGGAGGTATAAGAAATGAAATAAACTCTGAATTGTACATACTTCATAAGTGAGGGAAATATACCCTTCCTGAAAGGGAAAGGGGGGCAAGGAGAAATGGGGAGGGAAGAAGACACATTTATTAAGATGGAATTAAAAGTTGAATATAATAAAAAACCCAAGACACCTCACGTACAGAAGAGCCTACAGGCATGTTCCTAAAAACAGGACTTAAAATATCATATGTGTGACAACTAACTCAAGGCTCAAAACAATAGCTTCTGGGGCTTAAGGGCCTAGGGTGGCCTGTCATTCTGGAGCACTTGCTGGTTCTGGAACATGAGTTTGTTACATTTTTTTAAAAACATTCATTTAAGGAAGAAAATAAGACAAACAAAAATCAATTTTCTTTCCAAAAAGAGTTAAATCAAGTATTATTCTAAAGTCAATAAAATAAAAGCAGAAGTGAAAGAGGCTCAGATTTGTGGATTTCTCTCTGGAAGATGCAGCCTATAGTCTGAAAGCATTATTGCAATTATAACAGTTCTTACTTTGTAGGGCCAGCCTGACAGAAATACCACAATGAAATCAATTTTTAAAGAGGAGCTAGAACACCATGCTAGCTGTGGCCATCCAGTTACTTTGGGAACATAAAAGTGGGATGATAGATTAACCAATGGGCATTTACTACTTTACTCACTCTCCTTCCTTAGGGATCCCACAGAGACCACCAAGACCATTTCCAGAGGGAAGCCTACTCAGGCCTCTCAATTCAGTGGGAGAATTTCTCCACTCTCTTTCAAAGGGTTGGAAGCAATTGCACAACACAAGTAATATGAACCAATGAGGCACCAAGCCAGTCCACATAAAAATAACTAACTACCACTTAAGTCAAGGAGTTGTTTTGTGTGATAGTAAGGCACCGGGAATACGAGTCTTCTTCCTCAGACGATGTTTCCTCATAGATTTCATCCTGGGCAATAATGCTCCCTAATCCATATTCCTGCTCATGGACAGAAACTTCATTTGGTGTGAGGTGGGAAGAGCCTTCCACAAAGTCAGCAAATCTGGAAAAGAGAATACTCATTAGCAATCTGCTTTCTGTCCTTTCTGGTTTTCTTTCAAAATAAGAACTGAAACCCTTAATATGCTCACAGGTCAAATTATATTGAGTCTAACCAATATCTCTGCTCTTACTCTGGCAGGTAAGTAGACTAAAGCAAGAAATAAGGAGAAAAGGAAAGCTGGGATCATAGGCCAATATCCCCTGCAACTCTATCATGCTTAATAAGCACTGGTCTACCTTTTTAGTTATGGAATGCTAAGGTTCCTTTAGTCATCTGTAATCCTGATAAGATTAAGGAGCATTACATAGTTATTCATGTTTATGGCCCTATAAACTTTATGCCTTCCGGATTCCACATTCAAGCTTTCATTGGTACAGTTGCTTTCAACTAAAAAGGAAAAAAAAAAAAAACCCTACTAAATCAGAGGAATGCAAAACTTTCAGAGGGGAAATTTAATATGGTACTGTAGTGTCCCCATCTCAATGCCATGAACAAAGCTAGAATAGATAGTTCCTTGAGGAAACAAGAAACAGGCTACTGCTTAATGTATGATATATGTACCTTTCTCTTGACTACTCCTAGGTTAACAGATAAACAAAGGCCACATATACAACATGATTATCTAGAAGTATGATCACTGGTAGAACTCAAGGTCACAATTACCCTGACAGATACTTAGTATACCTGCCCAAGAGTTACCTTTTTGGAGACTGGATTCGAGAAACAGTCTTCCAAGCAGAGCAGTCTGGACTGTTACAAAATTCTCGGAGCTCCTCTAAAGCCTTTCGGGTTTCTACTTCCCCTTGTATTCGATATTCTTCTTCTGTCAGGAGACGAGGAGGAACAGGCTTTTCTTTTGCCTTACACATCTTTCTGTGCTCACCAAAATAACATCATGAATCATTAATCAGTAATCTATATCTATCCCTACCTCTAGCTCCCTTCAGTTGGCCAAGCATATAGCAGGCAGCCTGAACGTTAAGTGCCATCACTCCCACCTTTCTTCCATAGACACCTTTAGTTACAATGGACTTCTGACACATTAGTGTATGAGTGACAAGAAAAAGTAGTAGATATTACTCACTAATATGAATAAATTCACTTATTTTCCAATAAACAGTAAACAAAATATTTATTTTCCAATAAATGGAAAAATGACAAGAAAATGATGGTTTACACTATCATTCTGTGGACTGTGGTCCACAGGAAGACAAATACTTCACGTTTTCACTTACAAGTGGGAGCTAAACAATGTGTATACATGGACATAGACTATGGAATGACAGATAATGGAGACTTGGAAGGGTAAAAGGGGTGGGAGGGGGTAATGATGAGAAATTACTTAATGGGTACAATGTACATTGAGTGATAGGTACACTAAAAGTCCTGACTTCACCACTATATAATATATTCATGTAACAAAATTACACTTGTACCCCATAAATCTATACAAGTTAAAAAAAGAAAACGTGAAACCAAAACACAGAAATTATTTGGCCAGGTACAGTGGCTCACACCTACAATCCTAGCACTTTGTGAAGCCAAGGTGGAGCGTGTCTTGAGGCCAGGAGTTCAAGACCAGTCTGGGCAACATAGCAAGACTCCATCTCTACAAAATAAAAAAATTAGCCAGGCATACTGGCATAAACCTGTAGTCCTGGGTACTCAAGAGGCTGAGGCAGGCAGAGTGCTTGAGACCAGGAGTCTGAGATTGCAGCGAGTTACAATAATGCCACTGCACTCTAGCCTAAGCAGGTGTTTTAAAAAGAAAGAGGGAGGGGAGGGGAGAGGAGGGGAAGGAAAAGGAGAGGAAAGGAGGGGAGGGAATTAAATTATTTGATTGATTAAAAAAAGATTGTAGTCCATTAAAGTGGTTCCCCCAACTGAAGGCATCATTTTATCCACAATAGACAACCACTAACAACCTCGGAACCTATCAACATTCCATATTCATTATGCAAGGTGATAACCTGCAATGAATTGCACCTTAAAATAAGACTAGGACTTCCAGAGCAATTTGAGAGCCAGTGTAAAATAACCTGAAACCAGGTGACTTGAGGAATGTGGTATAAAACTGATATAATTTGCACCACCTAGTGGTAACAAGAACACATGACACTTTACTGGATGTTTTTATTTTATATAAAATGACTAGAACAAAAATATAAAAATGACTACAGAGAGTCTAAAAAAAACAGACTCAGGAAGAACAAATGTAGAAGCATAATACAACAATTTTTCATAAACAAAGAGGCTCCCGAGTCAACACTTCTGTATACTTTTGCTGCAACTGCATCCCACATTGTACATGTCAATACAAAGTTACACTGCCTTTCAGTCACCTGTAGGTGATGTACAGCCACTGAATAGGGTACTCCAGGTTCTTAGTACACAGAGCAATGATGATAATGGCAAGGGCAATGTGTGGTATCTGGATGCCAGAATACATGAAACATAGGCCCATCAGCTGCAAGGTCCAGGTCAGCAGGTTGATACTTCGTTCATTCTCCAAGGGCCCATACTTGTAACAAACCGCAAAACTCATGAATCCAACTGTGAGGACGTAGCCTATGAGAAGAGTTACCAGAAGACATTCTTTTTAATCTATACCTGGTAAAAATAATTTGTGTGGAGAGCAGTAGTAAATTCACTCTATAGCATCTATTGAACCAGGAAATCAGATAAGACCTTTCCTCAATAATTCACACTTTTTCATTATTAGAATATATTCATTAAGTTCCTATACTTTCGGTTGTCCTAGATTTTTCTGGTTCAAACAGAGCATTAAAGCTAAAAGAAAACAACTCTGAAATAGTCTATTTTAAAAACCTAGTAAATGAAAATCCAGATTCGTTATCTCTCAAAGGATAGATTAAAGGCTACTATCTGTATGACCAAAGGATTCTCATTTTATAGATAAAAATTCACTGCAGAGTCCTTTATTTAAGGTCCCCAAATGTATTTAAAATATGATTATATTAATAAAATTAATGTGCAGCTTTTTTAGGAAGATGCTTATTGTATAAAGAGAGGTACACTTACAAATATCAATCAATTAATATCTTCTCCTTAGCAGCATCATTTTAATTTAAGAGAATGTGGTGACTATACAGGGGTTAGAAATAAGTGAAAAATTATGATTTTTAAAAACTTAATAAAATGACATGAACTATTATCTCCTGTAAGCAGGTAACATCTTTTCATGATCAAATTAACTAAAACAGCCTAAAAACATACAAAAGGAAAGCAAAACCAACACCACTTACTTAAAAGATACTGCCAGTAACACCTCCAGATCTCTTGTAAATTTTTAAAAACTAGTTGAATGAGGTACAGAGAAAAAGACCAGCCTCCTACCAGGATGACGTAAATGGGACTTTTCTAAGACAGAGAGTAGAAGTGAAAGCAAAAAGTTACAACAAGCTTTCCATACATAAATGGAGCAAAATGGAACAAAGATTTTTTAAAAATTTCAACCTACTCAAAATGCACAAAAACACATCTCTCAAAAAGATGTCCTTTATATTTAAAATGGTACTGTCTGCAAGATTCACTGGGGAGATGAGATGCTAAATAACCTAAAAGCCTGACTATGTAATTGAAAAACAGGAAGGACAGACTTTAACACCCCACTGAGCACAGGATTTTAAATAAAAGAATTTGTCTGTAATCAGACTCCAGGTTTCATCACGGAAATTACCTTTCTGAATCAAGGATGGAGTAGGACATTGACTCATCAGCCACCAATGCAAATTTTTAGTGTTCTAAGATTACCCCAGGAAAATAGTCCTTCAGCTATCCAAGCTCATCCTGTGTATGAGGATTCTGTTACTTACCTTAGGCATAAACTTAGATAGTATAAAAATGATGATTAGCAGAGATGCCACAATTCCCACACTCATCCCAGTGGAATAGTAGAAAATTTGACTTCTGCAGAGAGAAAATTTATTTCATGACTATATGTATATAATTCACATACAGCATTGTTGAAATTAGGACAAATAACTCAGCTAAAAGATTTTAAAAGGTGTAAATGTTGGGTGCAGTGGCAATACTTTGGGAGGGTGAGGCAGGAGAATCACTTGAAGCCAGGAGTTAAAGACAAGCCTGTACAACATAGCAAGACCCCATCTCTACAAAAAACTTAAAAATTAGCCAAGCATGGTGGTGCACACAGCTGTAGTCCTAGCTACTAAGGAGGCTGAAGGGGGGAGGGGGACACTTGAGCTCATTCATGATGGTTGGAATCAGGAGTTCAAAGCTATAGTGAGCTATTATCATGCTACTGCACTCCACTATGATCACACCACTGCATTCCAGTCTGGGCAACAGAGTGAGATCCTGTCTCTAAAAATTAAAAAAATAAAGAGGTACAAGATTAGAGCAAGTACAGGCATACACTGAAGATATCTTGAGTTCAGTTCCAGATCACTATAATAAAGTGAATATTGCAATAAACCGAATATTGCAATAAAGCAAGTCACATACAGTTTTGGTTTCCCAGTGTATATAAAAGTTATATTTATATTATACTGTAGTCTAGTAAGTGCACAATAGCATTATATATAAAAAACAATGTATATACCTTATTTAAAAATGTTTTCTTGCTAAAAAATGCTCACTATTATCTGAGCCTTCAGGGAGATATAATGTTTTTGCTGGTCCTAGGTCTTGCCTCAAAATTGATGGCTGCTCACTGATCAGGGTGGCAGGTGCTGTGGCAATTTCTTAAAATAAGACAACAATGAAGTTTGCCATATCCATTGACTCTTCCTTTCATGAAAGATTTCTATACAGTATGTGATGCTGTTTGACGGCATTTTACCCACAGTAGAACTTCATTCAAAATTGGATTCAATCCTCTCAAACTCTAGTGCTGCTTTACCAACTAAGTTGATGTAATATTCTAAATCTTTTATTGAAATTTCAACAATGCTCAATAACACCTTCACCAAGAGTAGATTCCATCTCAAGAAACCACTTTAGGCCAGGCATAGTGGCTCACATTTGTAATCCTAGCACTCTATGAGGCTGAGGCGGGGGGAATGGTTGAGCTCAGGAGTTCAAGACAAGCCTGAGCGAGAGAGCAAGATCCCATCTCTACTAAAAGTAGAAAAATTAGCTGGGCACAGTGGCAAATGCCTGTAGTCCCAGCTACTCAGGAAGCTGAGGCAGGAGGATTACTTGAGCCCAGAGAGTTGGAGATTGCAGTGAGCCATGTTGATGCCACTGCACTCTACCCAGGGTGACAGAGTGAGACTGTCTCAAAAAAAAGAAATCACTTTCTCTGCTCATAAGAAATAATTCCCCATCCATTCAAGTTTTACCATGAAATTGTAGCAATTCAGTCACATCTTCAGGCTCCACTTCTAACTCTAGTTCTCTTGCTATTTCCACCACCTCTGCAGTTACTTCTTCCAATGAAGTCTTGAACCCCTCAAAGTCATTCATGAGGGTTGGAATCAATTCCTTCTAACTTCCTGTTAATGTTGATATTTTGATCTCCTCCCATGAATTAGGAATGTTCTTAATGATGTTAAGAATGGTGAACCCTTTCCAGAAAGTTTTCAATTTACTTTGCCCAGATCTACCAAAGGAATCACTATCTATGACAGCTATAGCCTTATGAGATGTATTTCTTACATAGACTTGAAAGTCAAAAGCACTCCTTGATCCACGGGCTGCAGAACCAATGTTTTGCTAGCAGGCATAAAAATAGCAATCTTCTTGTACATCTCCATCAGAGTTCTTGCGTGACTAGGTGCACTGTTAGTGAGCAGTAATATTTTGAAAGGAATCTTTTTTTTTTTTTTTTTTTTTGAGACAGAGTCTCGCTTGTTGCCCAGGCTAGAGTGAGTGCCGTGGCGTCAGCCTAGCTCACAGCAACCTCAAACTCCTGGCTCAAGCAATCCTGCTGCCTCAGCCTCCCAAGTAGCTGGGACTACAGGCATGCGCCACCATGCCCGGCTAATTTTATATATATATTAGTTGGCCAATTAATTTATTTCTATTTATAGTAGAGATGGGGTCTCGCTCTTGCTCAGGCTGGTTTCGAACTCCTGACCTCGAGCAATCCGCCCGCCTCAGCCTCCCTAGGATTACAGGCGTGAGCCACCGCGCCCGGCTGAAAGGAATCTTTTTTTCTGAGCAGTAGGCCTCAACAGTGGGCTTAAAATATTCAGTAAACCATGCTGTAAACAGATGCATTGTCATCTAGGCTTTGTTGCTTCATTTATAGAACACAGGCAGTCAATTTAGTATAATTCTTAAGGGCCCTTGGATTTTCAGAATAGTAAGCAACCATTGGCTTCAATTTACTTATCAGCTGCATTAGCTATAACAAGAGAGTCAGCCTGTCCTTTGAAGCTTTAAAGCCAAGCAGTGACTTCTCTGTAGCTGTGAAAGTCCTAAATGGCATTTTCTTCCAATAGAAGGATGTTTGATCTACATTGAAAATCTGTTGTTTAGTGTAGCCAAACCACCTTACTCAATGATCTTAGCTAGATCTTCTGGATAACTTGCTGCAGCTTCTCTATCAGCACTTGGTGCTTCACCTTGCACTTATAAATTGTGGGCATGGATTCTTTCCTTAAACCTCATGAAGCAACCTCTGCTAGCTTCCAACTTTTCTCCTGCAGCATAATCACCTCTCTCAGACTTCATAGAATTGAAGAGAATTAGGGCCTTGCTCTGATTAGGTTTGGCTTAAAGGAATGTTGTGGCTGGTTTGATCTTCCTTCCAGACCACTCAAACTTTCTTCATATCAGCAATAAGGCTGTTTCCCTTTCTTACCATTTGGGTGTTCGTTGGAGCAGCACTTTTAATTTCCTTCAAGAAATTCCTCTGCATTCATAACTTTACTAAATGTTTGATGCAAGAGACCTAGCTTTTGGCCTATCTCAGCTTTCAACATGCCTTCCTCACTAAGCTTAGTAATTTCTAGTTTTATATTTAAAGTGAGAGATGTATGACTCTTCCTTTTACATGAACACTTAGAGGCCACTGTAGAGCTACTCATTAGCCTAAATTTCAATATTATTGTGTCTCAGGTAACAGGGAGGCCCGATGAAAGGAAAAGAAATAGGGGAATGGCCAGTTTGTGGAGTTGTCAGAACACACATGGCATTTATTAAGTTTGTTGTCTCATATGGGCATATGGTGCCCCAAAACAAGTACAATAGTAGCTTCGAAGATCACTGATCACAGATTACCATAACAGATACAATCCAATGAAAAGTTTAAAATATTGCAAGAATTACCAAAACATGACAGAGACACAAAGTGACCACATGCTACTGGAAAAATAGTGTCAACAGACTTCCTTGACACAGGGTTACCACAAACTTTCAATTTGTAAAAAATGCAATATCTGCAAAGCGCAAAAAAATAAAGTACAATAAAAGGAGGTATGCCTGTATTAGCCCCAAACTTGGAGTCAGACAACTGTAGAGATTGATATTATGTAGTTACTATCAGATTATGAAGACCAGTATTCGGCCAGGCGAGGTGGTGCATGCCTGTAATCCTAGCACTCTGGGGGGCTGAGGCGGGCAGATTGCTCAAGGTCAGGAGTTTGAAACCAGCCTGAGCAAAAGCGAGACCCTGTCTCTGCTATAAATAGAAAGAAATTAATTGGCCAGCTAATATATATAGAAAAAATTAGCTGGACATGGTGGTGCATGCCTGTAGTCCCAGCTACTTGGGAGGGTGAGGCAGAAGGATTGCTTGAGCCCAGGAGTTTGAGGTTGCTGTGAGCTAGGCTGATGCCACAGCACTCACTCTAGCCTGGGCAACAAAGCAAGACTCTGTCTCAAAAAAAAAAAAAAAAAAGTATCAATGAGCTCCTCTCAAATATATCCCCATATTAAACCTCTGCATAATTTCCCACTCCCATCCCCATAAACTCTCCCAAACCAATTTTTATTTCTTCTGAGAAACTGCACAATTTCTCTGGGGAGAAGAAAGAGGCAAGAATATTGCCCAAGTGGAGCCTGGAAACTGGAACTGAACTGATAACCTAGAAGGAGAGATCAATCTTTCATGAGGCCTAGAACACAAAGCTCCTACTCCTGTTCCAGGGTCTTTCTACTAGTCACTCCTCCCTCGCTGTGTTTGTCTCAGCATCTCCAAAATAAGGAACAACTTTCACCAACCCTACGGACCGGCTTTTTCATTCACTACTCCACAAATACTCTTTTTATTTGTGTACCAACTTAATGTTGATTCTACCTTCATTCAATGTTTGTTTACTTATCTACTTGTTTCCTTTATATTTGTACATGTCTGTCTCACCTATCTTAGCTAGCAGGTTCCTAAAAGATATGAATAAGCAGTTGATGTTTGTCTCTTTACAACTAAACAGCATGAAACTCATCAACACACAGCCCTGTAAAAACAAGACCTTAGCATATTATTTTAATGGTATAAAGGGTGGTAATGTTGAACTTCATAATACTGGTTAACTCCTATCAAACTAATGAAGGGTCAACCTAATGGGAATTTCATTATTGTCAATATTATTCAAATAAGAAAAAAACAAAATACACATTAAAGTATTTTTTAAAATATCCAAGTAGGCAATGGCCAAGACATAAAGGTCCAAGAAAAGGGAATGGCAGTACTTACAGTTTTTATGATAAAAGTCAGGCAGGGTAGGTAAGAGCCTTGTTATACCCTAGACTTAGAACCTACCTGCTCAGCAAGTCTCCACAAAAAAACAGCATAAGTCCAAGGAGAAACACAAGGAAGAGCTTGGGGTCAAATCCTGAAACAAATGAAGATTTTGCTTAACATGGGAACAAAATAGTTTAAGGTATTATAGAATACAAGGCAATGTTGGCATTATTGGTCAGCTACAGTAAAATAAATGCAAACAGCCCACCTAAGCAGCACTGTAAACTCCAAACAAAGCCTGGGCACTCTTCCAAAGTATAATTACATCTGTGTACACGCCTGAAGACCTTGTTTTTATTTTGGCTACCCAAGCTAAGGCTAAAAGGAATTAAGCTTCTCATTGGACAAAGCCGGACACAGTGCCATCAGTACTTTAAGCAACTCCCCACAAGGGGTCTCTACCACTCTGGCTTTCAAACCCAAGTCACTCATAATCATGGAATTCAACAGATTTGCCTAGGATTTTAGGTCAGGGCCTTGTGTTCTCTCACTGGCTGCTTTTCTTGCCCCACAGTACCACCTACTTTCCTTCGCTACACGGCACTATGCTGGAAAAGCCCACATGTAAACACATCTCACCCAGGACAGGGGGCCCAAGCAGGGGCCCCTTAGTAGCATAACAGATACTCCCACAGCTTTCATATTCATGAGCTCTAAGTCGGGAGGCCCACAAACAGAAGAGTAGTAGGAGGGATCAGAAAATGTATAAGGAACACAAAAAAAAGGGCAATCCTATACAACCAAAGAACTGTAGAACCCTATGACAATTGGAAGGCCCTAACCTATTTCATAGCAAAACCTAAAAAACATTTCTACTACATCCCAGGACCCTGGGAAATAACCAAGGAGAAACCAAGTCAGAGAACATTAAACAAGATCCACCTCCTCTGAAACTTTCTCAAACACCCTCAGAAAAGGGAAATCTCCTAGTTCCACTGAATAAGCCTTCAACTGCAATGGTCTTCATCTTTATTTATAGTTCCACAATATTTTTTATTAACACTTGTGAAGTATTAATATTCAGTTTTACCTTTCTTCAATGTTTATTTTTTAACCATTTATGTCTTCAAATGTAGGCCTGTACACATTGGGACAGCTACTTTTCTCTGGAAGTGTCCAGGACGCAGGAAAAATCTATCTGATTTACTCTAAAAGTGCTTGGCATATCAGCTCAGGACCATTGGCAGTACACTATATTAGGAATGGAAGTCTTCACAATTCTAGGTTAAGAGGTGTTTAGAATTTTCTGAGGTGAATCTTGATTTTAGGCCTAAAGACTCTGATGTGAGGTAGAAGCTCCATGAACTGTTTGGAGTAGTACTATACACAGGGTTATAATCAGAACCCAAATGGAACTGTCTTGGGCTAACTTCTCTGCCTCCCTAATTATACCCTCCAAAACTCAGTCCGTCCTCACTATAGAATCCATCAGAAAAACAGAGATGAGACTTACTCCGGATCACAATGACACTGTACTTGGTGTCCTTCTCTATAATCTCAACTTTGAGGCAGGTTTTTGTGCTGTACAGACCCACGTTAACATACGTGTCATTCAATTTCTCTTTTAAAAAGGAGGAAAAAACGTTCCAGATACTAAACTGCTCTAGCTCCTTCAGTTTCTCCTCATTCTCCACCTGAGTGACTCGAACCAATTTGGAACTATTTACCCGGATCTGTAACACAAGTAAAATCAGGATGAGAAAGAAGGATATAAGAACTTAAATATTTCACAAATATACTTTTAAAAAAACTTCTCAGAGTAAATAGTTAAATCAGTAATGGTACCAGTTTTCCATAAGACTTATGAGAAATACAGAGATGGAACAGCTAAAACATACTTGGGCAAATAACACTGCATATGGTACAAAGAGACAGCTGTTAGAATGTCTTTTTTTAAGATGATCCGAAACTACTATCAGGCCAGAACACAGGGGGGAAGAAAAGACTTCCAAGCTGAAAGAGTCATCAATACAGCTATTTACAAGAGACCATACAAAGCAAGAGCCTAGAACATTAAGAAAATTACTAGGCCCAAACAGCCTCAGAAAATTGAAAATGTTTCCCATAATGACAGCCTGAGAAGTTCAACCCATTGTCACAAGTCACTGATTATGGGTAAATGTTAGTTAAAATGTGCCCCAGATGGAGTAAGATTTTTATATCAGACAATAAAAAAAGAGAATTTTTAAAAAAACCAACCACAATCCCACCCTTATGTTTTTGATGTAAACAATAAATGCCCTTATCAGTAACTATGTTTAAAGCAGCAGCAACATTTCCAAAAGGACTCATTTTGTTCAATCACTATTACAGCCATTCTTGTTTGCCAGGTGACTTAACAGTCTTATGTTTGCATACTTAGAAGAGAGAAAGAAAAACAAGAAGAAACAAAACAAAACAAAAAACAGTGTTATAAAAAAAAAAATGAGATCAAAGTCATTATATCAAGGGGAAACTTCAGCTTGGGGTTGGTTTATGAAACAGCTCATGTAGAATCAAAACAGAATAGGGAGCAGCACGCAAAAAGAGTCTACATCCTGATAGGCACACAACAGTTTCCAGCCCAAAGAAGTCATAAGGCCTTTAAAAAGAGTGTGTGTGGCACCCACGTGCATGTTGGAAATGGAAGGATGGGAAGAGAAGGAAGCAGTTTCCTTGGGAAGAGGAGGAAGGAAGAAAGTTTACTTTGGGGTCAGAGCACTGTAAGCTACTTAAGGAAGCGGAGAGAAAGAAACACAAAGTAGGCATAACTGCTTATTGATGAAAACACAATTCAGGATAATCTTAACCCCAAAAAGATTGTTTACAATACTTTTCTAAAAGTTTTATATGAAAGGGAAAGAAGTATCAAAATATTCACCAATCACAGACAGATATTCACAGGAGCCTCTGCAAGCAGTGTCCAAGTTATTACCTGTATCCGTGTCCATATATCGTGCCATTTTGGTATAAGCACATTTGTATAACAGAATTGTTGGCTGGTACTTCTGTAATAAACTTGGGACTCCTGAAGCATGACCACATTTACATCAATTCCAGCTTTATGCAAAGAAACGAAACAAGAATTAAGCATAACATAACAAAACAAGCTAGTACTATAACACATTTCACAAAAGTAATTAAACTGACCACTTTCTTAAATCTAGGGTTAAAATGTCAGCCTGATTGAATAACAAGAAAAAAACTGAGATGAAGGAAGAAACAAGGCAGTCTTACTTCTGTCAAATTTAATTATTTAAATATTACACATAGTCATTCACTCATAAGCAATAACAGAAGCTACTATTAATGTTTATTAAGACAGTATGCTGTCTCATTTACCTCTCCCAACAATACTAAGAGATAGGCACTCTCTTAATCTGTATTTCATAAATGAGGAACTGATATTTAAAAAAGATTAAGTAGACTGGGGGTTTGGTGGCTCACGCCTATAATCTTATCACTCTGGGAGGCCGAGGCAGGAGGATCACTCAAGGTCAGGAGTTCAAAACCAGCCTGAGCAAGAGTGAGACCCCATCTCTACTATAAATAGAAAGAAATTAATTGGCCAACTAAAAATATATAGAAAAAATTAGCCAGGCATGATGGCACATGCCTATAGTCCCAGCTACTCAGGAGGCTGAGGCAGGAGGATTGCTTGAGCCCAGGAATTTCAGGTTGCTGTGAGCAAGGCTGATGCCACGGCACGCACTCTAGCCTGGGCAACAGAGTGAGACTGTCTCAAAAAAAAAAAAAAGATTAAGTAATTTGCTCCAAATCATACAGCTAGTAAACAGCCTGAGATTCACACCCAGCTCTGACTGTGGTCTTAACCACTACTTATCCTTTCTTATAAATGAATAAAGTAAGCTAAATTTCCCCATCTGTTCATTTTCTCTATCCCTTTCCAGAGTAGGATGAACAGAATTGGCAGTATTCTTTATATATAGTCCTTTAGGAAGACACTAAAAGATTACAAAGCAGCTTTCTTTCAGCTGTTTTGTTTCATTTCAAGTTTTAAGAGCAGCCAATGATTATATGCAGTGCCTGATTTACCAAAACAGATTCTCCCCTCAGTTTCTCAGCTAATTCAAGGTTTAAACGTGACCACTCTCCTTTATCTTCCCACTCAAGTTTGCCCAAGCTACCTTCTTTACCACAAAACATTTAAATAACTTCTTCCTTGAGTTGTTATAAAGGAAAATAAAAATCTCAGGACCACACCTCCCTCAACACACACACACATACATATATACACACACACACACACACACACACACTCCTTATGCAAAAGGAAAGGTCAAGCCTACTTAACACTCCCTTCCAAACCAATATGGTTTAGGTGTTTGGCCCCCTCCAAATCTCATGTTGAAATTTGATCCCCAGTGTTGGAGGTGGGGCCTGGTGGGAGGTCGTTTGGAGTTCTCACTTTATTCCCTTTATTAGCTCCCATAAGAGCTGGTTATTTAAAAGAGTTTGACACCACCTCCTCCCTCTCTTGCTCCTGCTTTCACCATGTGACAAACTTGCTATTCTTCACCTTCTGCCATAAGTGGAAGCTCCCTAAAGCCCTTATTAGAAGCAGATGCTGGTGCCCTTCTTCTTGTACAGTCTGCAGAACTGTGAGCCAAAAAACCTCTTTTCTTTATAAATTACCCAGCCTCAGCTATTTCCCTTATGCAACTCAACAGGGACTAACACACATATAGCTTTGACTAACATTAAGCATCAGCCAGATTCCCATAAAAGGTAAAAGGCCTCAGGTATCTACAAGGACTATACCCGCACATCATTCATAAGGCAATTCTTTGCTGGCCTCCCATAAACAAGGACATGCAAATTGTAACTTTAGGTCTACAAGCTAAGTCTAGCTCCTAAACTAAAATCTGTTTAATTCCACACTAATAATGTTGACTATAAATTTATCTTCCCAGGTGCAGAACAGAGATCAATCATTCTTCTCTACCCAGGAACATCTACATAACTGATTCCTCCTTTACTCCCCTTTTCTCTTCAAACATGACCTTATTATGTAAAACGTGTATTTCCTTGGCACTAAATTAAAGTGTCATAGGAATGTAACCATATGCCTCACTGCCCACCGCCTTTTCCTTTTTCTCTCTGTTTGCCCTCTCCCCTTAAATACTGAGTTCCCAAATTCCTCCTTGAAGAGCTCAGGCCACATGTTTCTGTGGTTTAAGTAAGCTTTTACTGGGTGTATCCTCAAACTTTGCCTTAATAAATCTCCACTGATTAAGATCTTTGCCCCAGGCCGGGAGTGGTGGCTCAAGCCTATAATCCTAGCACTCTGGGAGGCCGAGGCAGGCGGAGGTCAGGAGTTCAAAACCAGCCTGGGCGAGACCCTGTCGCTACTAAAAATAGAAAGAAATTAATTGACCAACTAAAAATATATATACAAAAAATTAGCTGGGCATGGTGGCGCATGCCTGTAGTCCCAGCTACTCAAGAGGCTGAGGCAGTAGGATCGCTTGAGCCCAGGAGACTGAGGTTGCTGTGAGCTAGGCTGATGCCATGGCACTCACTCTAGCCTGGGCAACAAAGTGAGACTCTGTCTCAAAAAAAAAAAAAAGATCTTTGCCTCAGTCACTTATTTTGGGTTGTCACTATATTGTGCTTTCCAACTTACCAAGTGCTTCTCTAAGCGAAAATTTAGTTATCGCCTTGGTTCTTAGTATAAAGGTGAGTAGATGTAAATAAACTAAAAAACAAAAAACCTCAACCGAAACTTAGAAAGCCAAAGCTACACACAATAAAAGGCACTGATGCCCACCAATCCAGATGGTTTTAGGGTAAACTAAGATTAATTTTGAAGTTAAATTCAGCATTAAACCTAAATGTAAGAGCAAAAACTATAAAACTTAGAAGAAAACATAGGTGTAAGTCTTCATGACGTTGGATTAAGCAATGGTTTCTTATAAATATGACACTAAGCGTAAACAACCAAGGAAAAAAATAGGTAAATTGGACTTAATAAAAATTAAAAATTTTGTGCTTCAAAGGACACTATCAAGAAAGTGAAGACAGCCGGGCATGGTAGCTCATGCCTATAATCCTAGCACTTTGGGAGGACAAGACAGGAGGATAGCTTAAAGCCAGAAATTTGAGACCAGCCTGAGCAACATAAAAAGGCCCTATCTCTACAAAAAAATAAAGAAATTAGCCAAGGTGTAGTGGCTCACACCTGTAGTCCCAGCTACTTGGAAGGCTGAGGCAGGAGGATCACTTGAACCTAGGAGTTTGAGGCTGCAGTGAGTGAGTTATGATGCCACTGTGCTGAGTCTCAAAAGAAAAAAAAAACATATAGACAACCCACAAAATCAGAGAAAATTATTTGTGAATCATACATCTGATAATGGTCTAGTATCTGGAATAATAAAGAACTCAATAATAGAATAACAAATAACCAATTTTTTAAATGGGCAAAGCATTTGAACAGACATTTCTCCAAAGATACACAAATAGCCAGTAAGTACATGAAAAGAGGTTCAATATCATTAATCATTAGGAAACCATAAAACAAAACCACAATGAAATACATGTCACATACCCACTAGGATGGCTATAATCAAAAAGAGGGCAATGACAAGTGTTCTCAAACTCTTGACCTCAAGCAATCCTTCCACCTCGGCCTCCCAGAGTGCTAGGATTACAGGCAGGAGCCACCACATCCAGCCAATAACAAGTGTTAGTGGGGATATGGAGAAACTGTAACCCTCATATATTGCTGGTAGGAATGTAAAACAGCGTAGTCTCTTTGGAAAATAGTTTGCCAGTTCTTCAAAAAGTTAAACATAGAGTCACCATATAACTCAGGAATTCCACTCCCAGGTGTCTACCCAAGAGAACTGAAAACCTATGTTCACACAAAAACTTGTACATGAATGTTCTTAGCAGCATTATCTATAATAACCAAAAAGTAGAAACAACCCAAATGTCCATCAAGTAATAAATGGAAAAACAAAATGTGGTATTATCCATAAAATGAAAAAGAATAAAGTAAAAGAAATGAAGCCATAAAAAGGAATGAAAAGTCAATACATGCTACAACATGGACAAACCTTGAAAACATTCTGCTGAGTGTAAGAAGAAACAAAAAGAAGACCACATATTGTATGATTCCATCTATATGAGATGTCTAAAATAGGTAAAAGCACAGAGATTAATGGTTGCTAGGGCTGGGAAGAGGGAAATGGGTAGTGACTGCTATGGCATACGGAGTTTCATTTTGGACTAATTAAAATATTCTGGAATTAGACAGTGTTTGCACAACCTTGTGAATACAAAAAAAACCACTGAAAGTGAATTTTATGATACGTGAATCATATCTCAATTTAAAAAAAAAAATAGGTCAAGAAACACTATCAGTTTCTCACCAGGATTTAATCCAACAATAATTTAGATAGCCTCCAAATCTTTATCTTTCATACCATGAAACCTTTATTTATTAAAATGAAATCTCTTAAAAACCCCACTGACAGTTATCTTACTAACAAGTCCACAAATATACTAAAAGGTTATCCAGTCACAAATATGGATCAAGAGTATTTTCTTCTGGAGAGTGAATAATAAGGTTATGTGAAATTTAAAAATACTGTACTTATGGCCAGGTGAGGTGGCTCACGCCTGTAATCCTAGCACTCTGGGAGGCCAAGGCGGGCGGATTGCTGGAGGTCAGGAGTTCAAAACCAGCCTGAGCAAAAGCGAGACCCCATCTCTACTATAAATAGAAAGAAATTAAGGCCAATAATATATATAGAAAAAATTAGCCGGGCACAGTGGCACATGCCTGTAGTCCCAGCTACTTGGGAGGCTGAGGCAGAAGGATTTCTTGAGCCTAGGAGTTTGAGGTTGCCGTGAGCTAGGCTGACGCCACAGCACTCACTCTAGCCTGGGCAACAAACCAAGATTCTGTCTCAAAAAAAAAAAAAAAAAAAATACTGCACTTAAAAATTCACTGAGGTCTGCAAAAACAATGGGAAGTATTTTTTAAAAATTAAAAGTTGAGGCCGGGCACGGTGGCTCACGCCTGTAATCCTAGC